ACCACAACCTTGTGTACCTCTGACTATAAAATAAAGGCTCAGCTTGCCTCTGCATCTCTCTCTGTGGCCTCAGCCAGGCACAGGAAGATCCACGGAGAATAAAGAGAGAAACTGGCTATGCTGATCATCTGAACACCGTTTCCGTGTCCTTCATTCTTCGCTGACTCTGTCCACACCTTTGGTAACCCCTGGACCGCTGGGGCTGGACCCCGGCAGTTCATATTTATTCTCCCTTTGTCTCCATGTTCTCTAGTCTAAATGATACAAAAGAATCTGTTTGATAGCATAATCTAGTCTATATTTTATTGTCAATGATACAGATGATAAAAATGCCTTTGGAGAGCATTTTATTTTCCCCTACTCTCTCTTTACAAGGAGATAAATACCTGTCACCTCTCCCAGTAAAATATTATCTATTTGTCAAGGTGTAACTCTAATAAAATTTCCTTCATGACTCTGTGCCTTATTCACAAAGTTTTCTTAGTCTCCAGATCCCCACAATGCTCTAAGTCATTTTTTTGGTTGTTTTCATGCTCAGTTTTCTATATTAAATACTACTTGTTTTCTCCTAACTCCCCCCCACCCCCACCATTGTAATTTTTCTCGAGAGTTAACATGTGTTTACTCATTCCTTTGATGCCTGCCTTTAGTCAGACACTCTGCTGGTGCGGCAGAGATTGCTGAAGAAGACCAAGAAGCAGATTCTCAGAGGCTCACCATCTAGTGATCTTGGGAGATGTTTGGAGAAGCCAGGGAGAGCTTCATAGGGAAAGTCAAGTTTGAACGCAGTCAGAATCATGAAAGCTCTCAAATGTATAGAAGGGGAAAAGGAATTCCAATCTGTAAAAATGCATGGACATGACAACCTGTGAATAAAAAGAGGGTTTTTGGAGGCGGCAATACATTTACTGAGAATGTCAGATCTGAGCCAGGAAGGCCCCCACTAATCCCTTATCCAACCATGCTAGTCATCCCTCATCCATCAAGATTCTCCTCCATGCTGAGCTCCGACAAGCTCTTAGCCCAGAGTCCTTCTCACCAAGGCAGGCCAGGCAGCCATCACCGACCAACTAAAGTTTGCACAAATAGGAAATCTATTTGCCAAAAGTACCCTAACTGAAATGGATGAATTTCTATTCGGTACCATTTCAGTCTAGTGGGGCAGATATAGTAGGAAGAGCTTTTAGTATAAATAAATTAATTCTGGCCGGTGACAGACAGCTTTCTGTCCACATGTCAGATGAAAGTAAAGAGATACTAGTGGTGCTGAAGGTGGACCAGGCGCTGGGAGAGAGGGAAAGTGATTAGGAAAGGCCATGCTGAGTCAAACTCTGGGAACTTTAAGCATGTAAATCAACCCTCCTGAGCTATTTGAGTGTCTACCTTGTCTACCTTTAGGTCGCTGTTCTAAAATTTTCCCT